ATGAAACATCTCTAATTATAGAGCTTTGTTTCGCTACTGAAAAAACGTTTTTTTAACTAATGATAATTTTAACTAATGAGTGTATTGTTGAATGCAACTATTTATAAGTCAAAATTTCAGTCCAGTCATTCTAAACCTGAGGCGCCCAAGGTTGAGAAGCAAGCTTTCTAAAAACTGCAACAGAATGAAATTTATAGTATTCCTCTGTCTCCTGTCTACGCTGGTACTGTGTKTGAGGGCAGAACAAGAGGTAACTAAATGTTGTTCTTGATATATTTTGGTACATAGTTTGGATAGACGGACAAAGAGGGAACGGCTTCTAAACTCTTTGCTTAGCATAGTACATTTCTTAAACTGGTTTGTCACATTGCGCTAGTTTCACAAAGCTCTCCTTGAATCATTTTCTCTTAAAAACTAATATTATACAGTTTCATTGTAACTTGAAGGAATTCCGACATTTAGTGTACAATAGAAAATTTCAATCAAAAGAAACACGATCCTTTTTTGCAAATACTAATAATATTTCAGTCAGGACGTACTTACGCGGTTAGCAAGAAAAAATGAGCATTTTCAACAATTTCAAGGCAAGGATACCTGATCGTGCGAAATCTCAGTATTGCTTTTCGTTGCTAAGCTTTATTTTGCTAAGAGTTACTACACATTTTCTTGTTTGCAGCTTAAAGTTTCAAAGAGAGACATTCCTTGGCAGAATTGGATTTTACGCCCACCATTTTGCATTCCATACGGTAATTCATGTCCTAAAGGTGGTGCCAGACTATGCTGCTCTTGGAGGTGCTTTCCTGTTTTTGGATACAAAAAGCCGTGAGTACAAAATTAGCTTATTATCAATACATGTTCTTAAATGTTTGCCTGTAGACGATTAACTCACTAAAGACAGGCAAGAATTGTGCCAATAATCACATTTATATAAGAAGCTGTTATGATTAATAGAATGATCGCAAAGAATCTATGGGATGTAATTAAGTGGGCCTTTAAAGTGATRAACACTTTATATTTGGTGAAGAACTGCAAACGAGGATATGCTACATTATCATCAGATACTATAATAGCTGTATTCTATACTATACAAAAAGCTGAAACACTTCTCTTTTTTGTCAGGTGGAGGTGCGTGTGAAAAGAAAATTGGAAACAATGGCAGTCCTATAGTTATTTAAAGACGTTAAAAATATTTTAGAAACAGTTAAATATGCTTTGACGCTTTTATAGTTTATATAAACACGTTTGACGTAAATGTACTACCTTCAATAAAAAGGACGTTGAAAAAGATAATGCTTTGGGGCGCTTGATTATTGGACTCGTTTCTAGAATTACAAAGTATGACTCAAAGGATGATTGATGTTTGATGCAATAACTATTATGCTTTATGACAGCTGTGCTAAACTCAATACCAAACTTTGAAAAACACCCGGGAAGGTGGGGCATATRATTTGGGCTTCCTTTGTTTTCCTTTCTTAGAGTGGTGAAGTTTAAGGTGCACCTAACCACTAAAAAATAACATTTTTTCCAAAATTAGGGGAGTTTCTAAGAGCTCTTGGCGAAAAAATCACTCRATTTTATTTAATTTCTGATTTTTGTCAAGTTTTAATAATCAAGTTGGATTCTGATGGACAGCCTCCAAAGCTCACAGTCAGAAGTATGGAAACGAGTGTGACGTCAACCATGCAGGCAATAAGAAAATACCTTCTCTGATATTTGGTGTGTTGTTAAACAATACACCGATTCGCATTTTTAACACAAAAATCAATAAAAACTCTACTACCGACAGTGTTTACATGAGGGTTTCGCAGTATCTGATACTGGGTTGACGTCACAAGTCAMATGATACTGTAGAATTGCTTGTCAACCACAGGAAGCTCGAAGTACCTTTTCTTGCATGTTTAAAAATTTGTAAAAAATCGGGATTTCAATGAAAATCGTTTACTTTTTCGCCAAAGTTCTATCCCTAATTTTGAAAAAAAATGTCATTTTTCAGGGGCTGGCTGCACTTTAATATTAGAAAAACAGTGCTYTTACATGAAAGAGTTAAGAAAAGAAAAATAAAACCGTTGTTTTTCCACTTTGTATGATTGGATAGATTTGTTACAATGTCACGCCGCATCTTTGTGATATCAAAGATCGCAAGAAAAGATGCCCCGCTGTTCCCCAGGTAGTTGGGTGCGGGGCTTTCTATTGACTAGTG